GGGGAACTCTGCAAAAAACGCATCTTCGCACGGGCAGCCCGTGCGTTGGCCAATTTTTTTTTTTCCTCTTCAGATGTGTTTTTATCTATCCTCTCCACATTACTATATATATTTTATCAATTTCTTCCGTTTCATTCGTCGCTTAACTAGTAATTCACAAATACTGACTGCTAAGACACAACTACAGTTTTTGTAAATTGATGAGGTCCAGTCGCGGTGCTGCAGAAGGAACGTATACGACTTAATGGACTAAAACATTTCGGTCCAGATTTATTTTGGTCTTATCACAGTAACTTATATAATCAATCAATTTCTTGAAATTTACTAGCCTCTTAACTAGTAATTCAGAAAATCTGATTACTAAAGCATTACTTTATAATTACTTTAATTTGTAATAACGCGAATTTCACTACGGTATCAAAGCCCTTTTTTTTATTTTTCACAGGAAGAAAATCAGCTGATTATTACCCAAACTATTTTCGTTCCTGTATTTTTGCTTTAGTTGGTAACCGCAGATTCTAACATTTTTTCCGGATAATTAACGCAATTTTCGTAATGGTACCACCGCTTTTTCCTCTCAAAGGGGAGGGGTAAAACTGATCACAGGCATGCGGTTTGGGTATGAAACGCTCTGCATCAGTGCACTTTACGTGTGGTTGAACACAGGTAACATTGTTAATGCAGGTTGAAGGTTCGATTGCAGCGGTGGGGCAATCTCTCTAAGATTCATTCATTCGTTCCGATGGTAAATTGGTACTGGCATATGTCCACGGAGACAAACTCACCATCATCATTGGTTAAAAAAAAAGAAATGAAGGGGAAAAAATGACATGGCTGTCAATTACATCCATTGATGAATCAGTGGTGAACTTCAAATATCAAGTGAAAATAGCAGAACTTACTTTGACAACATGGTCGTACAGGTCATTATCGTGTTGGAATCGTTCCAAGCAATTGCTCCAGCGGCATGGAATTCCCAGGTCACATTCATTTAACTTTACTGATAGCTCCGATGAAGAAGGAAGAGATGAGCACTCTGGCAGCTCAGCAACATTGCTGTCTGAAAAAATTAGTGTAAAAAATTCACTGTGAAAATTACCGTTTAATGACCTCATAAATTTACAAGAAACCCACGCGAGAGCATCCTGCGGTAGCCTGAAATCCTTCTTATCCAAAGTGTGATGTTCTTGAAAATTCCTAAACGATGAACACTTCTACTGGTGATCACTGCTGTGGGGAAGTCCAGTTGATACCTACCGCTTGTCGATATGTACCGCCTTTTTGAGGGTCACTCGAATGGTCAAAAATTAATGATTTTAAGAAAGTCTTAAAATCCCTCTGGATTCATTATCTTTAAGAGACGAAAATACTCAGAAATGACCGAATCATAGGATTTTGCCAAGAACAGTTACCCCCCGCAAAGTTGTCAATCGATCCCACGATTTCAGCAACCAGATATAACCGGAACCTGTCAAAATCAGAAGTTAACTCCTTCTAATCTTTCGTATTTGCTCTCTTTGAGAGAGGTAGGTACTTGGATGTAATCAGAGGATGAACAGCAACCACCCTATGGCAAAATCATCGCTGAATCCCACATTCGAAGGTTGCTTACAAGCAAGCTGATTAATAGCAAAGTTGCTTACTGAAGCGTTCAGTGTTAAAGAATTACTTTCCGTGTCTTTGAAATGAATATCCGGTAAAACATTCCTACTCCTAAGCGTATCCACTACTTCGTCTGTGTTTACAGTTAAGGGATGAAATACAGACTGCACACTCACATGTTCTTTTAGTATAATTTCTATAAGCATACAAATTGCTTACTCGCATGTATTCAGCAAATTCTCAGGAATTAAAGGCCTAGTCAGCACACTGTTATCATAGAAAATACTAGCCCGTTGCAGACAATGAGTGTACATGTCAAAACTTAACTTCCTCTTTTCTCTCGCTCTCTGTTCCTTATATCCATTTTGCAAATTAGTCACATGACTGCTCATTGCTTGGCAGATAGAAGGCTGTACTGATGATTCCTGCTCCTAACCGCACGCAAAGTTCACCCTGTGTTTACGGCTAAGGGATGAAATACAGACTGCACCCTAACATCTCTTGCTGCACACGACGCTTTGTCCAATCCCTTTTATTCTGCTATTTCATTCTCAACGACCTTATTATTACATTTTAAAAAAGGACTTGATGTGAAGCTGTAAAGGAACCTGAT